GTCTCAGCGGGAGAAGCCGGGCTGGGTTTCCCCTTGGACTTCCATTGGGTTTGCTTGTTTTGTTGTTAACACCCGGCGTCCTCGCAGCCGAAAGCCTCTCCGGTATGGTCTGAAGGCTCTCCAGACGTGTGTTTGTGCAGGCAGTCGTGTGAAAGTCAAGTAAGGAGACAGGGTAAGGAGGTACCGTGTCCACCAGCCACCCGCAGATGTTAAGGACACAGTGGGTGATTGAAACGAATATAAGAAACATGGATTGTGTTTATAATATAACATTATATACGTATACACTATAATAGAACAGACTATACGCTTCGCAAAAGCTTTTGAAAGCGGGCTGTGGACCGATGCTGATTCGTGGCAGTGCAGAAGGACAGCGGTCGGGCATCTGTCCTGACCAGGATGGAAAAGTCGGGTCCTCTTTGCAAGCCTGAGGACAAGAGATTAACCTGGAGAGACTCCGTAGGCTGTTGGTACGGGAAATAACCCTGTCAGGTCAGCACTGCGGGGAAACATGTGGGGCCCGCTGGAAAAAGTGCAGATCCTGCACATTTTTTTGCCTTTTCTACAGAATCCAACTTTAGGAGGTTGTGGGGTGTTGGGTTGTTTGGTGGTTTTGTGTGGTTTTTTTTTTTGTATAAGTTTGCATTTCTTGTGTCTGTGTGAGACCTTTAGGATATAATGCATTTTTTATGAGGAAGGAATCTACTGGTCAGACTAGTGATAGCAATAGAGGGTGAGTGTATGTGGTGGTCCTTTGGTCTCGGGAGGGGGGGAGGGTGTATTTCAAAGCCCCAGCTTGGAAGAGATAGGGACAGAAGCCAGCATAGCCAAGACTTTTGTGGGGATTCTGTTTGCACAGCATGGAGAATGCGCTATTCCATCATAGAAGAAGGAATGATTTTTCAGGATAGTTTTTTTAGGTCCCTTGGCATTATGGAGTGTGGGTGGGACTGTTTCATTCCTCTGTGTCCTCCAGTTTTCTTCCGTACTGTGTGGAAATACACTGGAATACCTGCCTCCCAAGACAAATAGCTCTCATCTAAGAACTTGAGAGTCATAAAGAAACAACATTGGTTTTTGTCTTCCCCTTATGTGTGGCTTAGATTGGCTGTCTTAATAGTTTAGCGGACTGTTGAAATGTCCCTTCTCCTTACTGCTTTTTAAATTTTATTTTCTTTTTATTAGCTTCTTGGTTTTTAATCTGACTTTTCCTCTATGCTGTGTTTGGTTTTTTTTCATCTAAGAACTTGAGAGTCATAAAGAAACAACATTGGTTTTTGTCTTCCCCTTATGTGTGGCTTAGATTGGCTGTCTTAATAGTTTAGCGGACTGTTGAAATGTCCCTTCTCCTTACTGCTTTTTAAATTTTATTTTCTTTTTATTAGCTTCTTGGTTTTTAATCTGACTTTTCCTCTATGCTGTGTTTGGTTTTTTTTTCCAGCTGGGGCTCTTCTGGTGTGTTTCTTCTTTAATGCAGGAGAACCTGGAGAGATGTGTTCTCTGCAACTTACTGCGTCTAATCTCAAAAGTCCACAGCAGAGAGGGCTTCCACTGTGCCACCTGAGAAGGGGTTTCACTGTTGAACAGACTTCTCTGTTTCGCATGCTTCCCCTGCTCCATGGCAGATCTGTTGCAGAACCTCCCCTGATCTTTGTGACAGGGATGAATTGGTCTCATTACATCCCCACCTTCCTATTATGGGTTCTTTCCCTTCCTTTGGGTCATTCTCTTTCTTGATCCCTCTCTTCCTTAGTGTTTGGAGCCTTTGGAGACCTCCTCATCCCATTAGCAATGTCACTGTTTAGGTAGGTGATTCATGTCAGCTAATCTTGACCTTTCTTAACCATTTTATTTCTTCTGTGTGGTTCTGCCTTTCCTCTGATTAACCAAACATGGCAACAAAGCAGCCAAACTGGATGGAGCAGGCACTGCACACCTGAACACCAGGGGGTTCGCACTTGTGCGCGCTCTCACATCTCAAACTGTAGATGCCTGCCCAGTCTGGGAGTTCCCGTTGGTCCTGGCGCACTCAGTCAGGCGTACCCGTCCGTGTTTGTGCATACGGCTTTTCATAAAGCAGTCCCAGTGTGCTGAATAGCTCAAGACAAATTATCTTTGCTTGGAGGCACTGTCTGTCCTTTTTTTCCCCTGTACAAAACTCATTTTATTTTCTTGCCCTTTCCCCAATACACCCTCCTATGGTATTTTCCACACTCTAAATTTAGTAGTGTCACCAGGATGAGCCTCCTTTTCTAGATCTTCCTACTGAACGTTCAGGAAAATCAGGTGAAGTCAATGGGACACCAGTTAGTTTCTGTCCTTTCCTGCCTTCTTAGCACTGCTGTGTGACCTTCCTTCTGGTGCTTTCACTTGTTCTTGCTCAACAGAGAGGTCAGCAAAATCTATGACAGCATCTGCATGTCCCTTTCCCCCAGTTCTGTGGTTAAAACGCTGTCCAGTTGGCATAGCATGGCAGCAGGAATGAGCCTGAACTCTCTGTCTTCTAAGGCTTCAGAGAGTTTTCCACGTTTGCTTTTCTACCTGCTTTCCTGTAGTACCTGAGCTGAATTAGCTGGTAGCTTGTGCGTCTCTCCCTCTTTGGAAGATGACTGTGGACAACTGTTGCTCATGGACAGCTTTGGGGGATGGCAGAAAGGGAGCAATTTGAGTAGAAAAGATGGTGGCACCACGCTATTGCCAGCTGGCATAGCCTAGAAGAAAAAGGCCTGTCGGTAGTTGGGTCTGATGGTTTGACTGCCTTTTGTGTTTGAGTGAGATGAGGGAGAACAAGGCTCTTTGGAGCTGCATGTGACTGAGGAGATAAGCCCAGTCTGGGGCTGGAGTCAGAGCAAGGGGGAACAGTGGCTGGAATATGGGACGTAGGGCAAATTCAGGAGAAGAAAATACAGAGATTGGGAAAAGGGAAGAAGAGAAAGTGAACTTAACCGAAAGACGGTGATAGCTTCTCTGCAGGGGAATCATAGAATGGTTTGTGTTGGAAGGGACCTTCAAGATCATCTAGTCCAACCCCTCTGCCACGGGCAGGGACACCTTTCCCTAAGTCAGCTTGCTCAAAGCCTCATCCATCCTGGCCTCGAACACTTCCAGGGATGCGGCATCCACAACTTCTCTGGGCAACCTGTTCCAGTGCCTCACCACCTTCAGAGGGAAGAATTTCTTCTTTAGATCTAATCTAAATCTCCCCTCTTTCAGTTTAAGGCCGTTACCCCTTGTCCTATCACTACACGCCCTTGTAAAAAGTCCCGCTCCAGCCTTCTTGTAGGACCTCTTTAGGTACCGGTAGTGAGCAAGAAGTAGTAGCCAGAAGGAGTGTGCAGGAGGAGTGGTCAGTGCTGTCCATGGAAGTGGGTGGCACCACAGCTCAGCTAAGGCTTGTGACCTAGAGATAACTGGCAGCAGGTTAATCTGTAGTGCGATGTGTGTGTGTCCTGCTGAGTGGCTGGATGTGATAGAAAGCTTCCATGTATGCACGGCTTGATCACGCTCCTGCTGACTTCGAATGGCAAGTGGCCATGTGAGGACGGTTTAACGCATGAAGAAGGGGTGGTGCATGCGCTCTGGGCAACACTGACTGCAGTGCTCTGTCACGCAGGCACTCAGGCTTGTGTTTTCCTCTTGTAAGACTCCGGCTGCTGCAAAGCCTGCTAAATTCTTCAGCCTCTTCTAGGGTCTGTGTTAGTCTGTTGACAGTTGACAAAGTCCTACTGAGCACTGGGGAACAGTGTTTCGGGTGGCTCTTCTGGTTTCCCTTCTCTACTACATCTCTACTTGCCAGCCATTGAAATTAAATAATAGGGCTGCATCTCAGCTTGATGGGAATACGCTGTTTTAGACAGCTTTGTGGAGAGCTTTGGTGGGAAATCGGTAGGTTCAAAAATAGAGCTTTCCCCTCTGAGGCAGGGCTGGAGGGGAGAGGAAGGCTGGGTTTGCAGTGGAGGGTTTTAGAGTCTGTATATTGCTAGGGAATATGAGAACCATACTGGCTTTTTCTTGCTGCTTCCCTTCAGCTGTGGAAGCAGTATCTCTGAACTTAGGTCTGCTGGGTGCGTACGGGAGTCCTAAACAAGCCAACTGCAGTCTGTTTTTCTCTGAATGTGGATGAGAACAGGGTTTCTGGAGCAAATGTCTTTAGTTATCCTGCTTTATTCTGAGTTAATAGTGTCTGGGACATGCTGGTTGAGAAGGGTAAAACCAGGAGTTACTAGTAGCTTTGCTTTAAATTTTTTGTGTCCAGAATTCACTGTGAGGGAGTATTCACTGTTGAGAAACCATCCCTTCTTAAAAGCAGCCCAGGCTGGGAATCTCAAACTAGACTTCATGTGATTCTTGGAGATCCCAGGACAGGAGTGGAGGTCTCCTCCAAGGCCTTTATTTTAGACCATCGTCTCCTGTTCTGTTGCTGGTCTGGAAGTGATCCGTGCCCAAAGGGCGAAGCCTTTCAACAGGGAGGCAGTGCCTACGTGCAGGGTAAAGGAATTGGTGCTACTGCTGGACACCAAGCAGATCCTCTAAGCCAGTCCTTCTCTCTTCATACACCATCACCCTCCCTGCCCTGCTTCAGTGCCTGTGAGAGGCTGGACGTGGATGTGTTGCGAGCATTAGAAGGAAGCTGCGAATTGTCCTTATATAAAGTCTCATTGTGTTGGTACCCCCCAGCCAGGCCGATTTTGAAGCAGACAACCAGAAGCAACCAGCTGTGGAACACTGGAAGACACTAATGCCATCCAAAGGCAGCAAGGAGGAGCCAGAGACTGGATGTCAGGATGCTGGAGGTGTGGATGAAACTCAGGCCACCGAGCAGCTAAATGTGTCACGTCTACGCAGCTCTTCAGTGGAGATCCGTGAAAAAGGGTCTGAATTCCTCAAGGAGGAGCTGCGCAAAGCACAAAAGGTAAGGCCTGGAGTTTGTGAGAAATCTGAGGATGGCGGGGCTTACTATGGAGCCTCTTTGCTAATGGCAAATGAGCAATTCCAGCCTGAAAAGCCACTGCAACATGTGGAGGGACGCCTTTGGTGACATGGAGCGTGGTACAGAGTTTAGCGATGGGAGTCTCAGGCTGGGGGTCCGTGCTGTGGTGGGGAGGAAAGGTGGTGATTGAGAGGAGGGGACAGGCAGGCATGAGCACTACTGGGGCCTGCTGTGAGCTCACACCTCCCTCTCCGTTTCCTCAACAGGAGCTGAAGCTGAAGGACAAAGAATGTGAGAGATTATCAAAAGTCAGAGAGCAACTGGAGCAGGAACTAGAAGAGTTAACAGCTAGCCTATTTGAGGTACCACCCTCTTCCTTTTCCCATCATTTCTGAAGCTAAACTTGTATCCAGCTTCTTTAAGACAGGCTTTCTCTAAACTTCCAGCCATCTCCTCCCACAGTTTCCTCCTTTCCCCTGTTGTTTTCTCCCACTTGGAGAAGCAGAGCTGGGCAATGCTGCAGGCAGAGGCTTGTACCTCCTCCTGGGGAGCATTTACATGCATTTCCTTCCCCTTCTAGCAGCTGTGGAGTGGCATAAAGGGCACAGTAGTTATGGGTCTGTACATCTGGGAGCAAAAACAGATGTGGGGATGCCCGTAGCTGGAGCTAAGCGTAGCTCCCTGTCCCTCTCCTCTGCCTGCTCTGTAGGCTGGACAGCAGCTGCTGTGTAATAGAGATGGTTCCCTGGCTAGTGTCAGCCTTTGCTTGGGGTGGGAATGAGCTGGATGTCCTGGTATACTCTGCTCCAATGAATCTTCAGAAGGCCTGTTGGCTGGTTTGTTTTTTTTTTTGTAATGTGATTCTTGCCAAGCCCTATCCTGGCAAAATCCCATTTACCAGCAGCTCTAATGTCTGGATCTGACTGGGCAGTGAGGAAAGCCAGTGCTCATCTGTACCTTTGAAACATAGGCTGGTGCTGAGTGTGAGGGCCAAGAGAGCATCCCTCTCCTGGAGATATGGCTACCTGGGCTTGGGACAAACTTAGAGATAATGTAGCTGAGGGCTGTCCCCTTCCTTTGGTGCACTTCCAGCCAGCGCTGCGGGGAGGCCCCAGCTGTGGCTCACACCACTCCCTTCTTTCTGTGGGGGATGCATTTAAACTAGCCTCTACCATTTGGCCCCCACCTGAGCTCCTGCTCAGCTCCAGCTGTGTTGCAATCATGCCCAGAGCAGTGAGGGCTGGCCGTTCCGCAAGGGAAGCAGGAGTGAAGTGCAATAACGAGTCAGGCAAAAGCAGTGACCTCACCAGTGAGGAGCCAAGACGTGGTGCAGCAAGTCTGGATCACGATCTGTGCTGCAGACAGCAATCAAGGTCAGAAAACAGTCCAGGGATCATGCAGCAGGGCTGCAGTGACAGCACAGGCCGGAGGTCAAGTCGGGAAGCCAAGCTAGTGAGTCTGAGTCACAGAGGTATTGGACTGGGTGCAGACACAGCTGTTTTGTAGCACAGGTTGGTGCTGATGTTAAAGCCTCAGCTTTAAAGCAATTCCCAAGGGTAAGGAGGGGCAGGCCCTTACTTCTAGCTTTCTTCACAGCAGCCCATATCTGTGAAAGAGATGACCTTGGACTCTGCCAGCTAAACTCTTTGACTTAGCCAACTACTCTCCTAGAAGGGGACTGCACTCCAGGCCCTGGCACTGAGAGCCTTCTCTGGGAAGTTCTGGGGGAAGGCTCTTTGCATCTGACGGAGTAAAACCCTTGGATGTGGCAGTGATGTCTGTCCCCCTGCTTGCTTGCCCAGGGCATGCGATACGGCGGAGCTTTCGCCTGCCCTGATGGCTTTGAGTCAGGGCTGCAACGGGCCAACTAAAAATTCTCTCTGGTCCAGGAAGCGCACAAGATGGTGAGAGAAGCAAACACTAAACAGGCAGCGTCAGAGAAACAGCTGAGGGAGGCACGAGGGAAGGTGAGAACCATGCTCTCTGTGACTTGATCTCTGCGAGGTTAGTGCCATCCCGGCCCAGCCTGGCCACGGTGCTGTTTGCTGGCTGGAGAAGAGTGAAGTGCCCGCAGCTCGGTCTCTCCGAGATGCTGCATTTCCTCTCTTCCCTCTCCAGCAGATGCTGAACGAGGAGGGGAAAGGCATCTTTTCAATCTGCTGCTGATTCAGCTTGCCTTTGAGCAACAGATGCCAGGGGAACCACGGAGAAGTGATGTGCTGTTTAGTTGCTGCAGCTGTGGGGAGGGGTAGAGCAGGGAGCTGGGGAGTTGGAATTTCCTGACAAGGTTGCTCAACTGGTTCCTTTTTGAGGAGAGAGAAATTTCTTCTGGGTTATTGGGTCTAAAAAAAGCCTGGAGCAAAATGTGCTCAGGCTGAGGAACAGAGAGGTGGGTTCCCAAATAACTACTATTTAGCCCTGTTTAAAATTCTGGGTGATGGTGGGCATTTGGGAGAATGAGGAGAAGGCTTGATGACTGAGCTTGTGGATGGTTCCCTGTGACTTTAGTGTTTGATGGTGTGCAGTGAGCTTGAGCTCAGCAGGTGCTATTGATTCTTGCCTTGTCTCCTCAGATCGACATGCTGCAGGCAGAGGTGACAGCTCTGAAGACTCTGGTGATCACATCCACACCTTCCTCTCCGAACCGGGAGCTGCACCCTCAGCTCCAGAGCCCTTCTAAAGCTGTCTTCAGGAAGGGCCATGGGCGAAACAAAAGCACCAGCAGCGCAATGGTCTCAGCTGCCAGCCAGAACGTGACTCCAGAGCCAGTCAGTCGTGAGTGCAAAGAGGTGGGTAAGGGCCACTGCTGTCACTGTGCCCAGGGGGCTGTGCGGCTTCTGACTTGGGCTTCCTGGAGCCCCCTGTGGTTTCAGTGTTGGGAGAAGCTGTTTGTGCAGTAATGTGGCTTGTTCCCTAAATTTGTGCTGAGGCAGGCTCTGGAGGGTTTCTGTTTGTGGAGATTTCCTCTTCTGGGAAGCATGTTGAAGGCTGTGTCAGGACAGTTACTAGACGAAGCAGTTGAGGGATCCCTGGAGGGCATGGACAGATCCAGGGGTTACCAGTGCTGAGAGTGGACATGTCAGGAGTTGCTGAGCAGAAGCCAGTTGTTTGCTGCATCTTGGCAGTTGAGTCCACTACCTGTTCTGGTGTGATTTGCTGTTGTTTCTTCTCTCTACCAAGTTTGGCTTGGACACCAGGACACCTCTGTCAACTTGTAGTCTCTGTCACTTTTTCAGTATTTTTAGGCATTGTCATGGTTTAGGCTGCTCCGGCAACTAAACTCCACACAGCTGCTCACTCACCTTCCCCCTCACCCCCCAGAGATGAAGAAGGGAATTAAAGGAGAAAAGGAAGAGACCCGTGGGTTGAGATATGAACAATTTAATACTACTACTACTAATATATGAACATATACATATATGTATAATGATAAATCATAGAATCATAGAATC